TAGAATAGAACCATTTTTGTCTCACCATAAAAGAAAAGAGAATTCCTTGTTTATTTTAGCTATTGCTTTTGCAAATTATATTTTTGTGTTCAGGAAGTTATTAAAGAACTGGTGATGATGACAAACCAAATTCTTTAAAAGCATTTCACGTCACATAATGACCTCCAGTTCCATCCATGTTGCTGCATTGACAGGATTTCATTTTTATGGTTAAATAATTTCCCATTGTGTATATATATCACATTTTCTTTATTCACCTGTTGATGGACTCTTGGTTTTTTTGTTTTCTTTCCAACTTTTATTTTAGGTACATGGGGTACATGTGCAGGTTTGTAATGTGGATAGATTGTGTGTTGAGGGGGTTTGGGGCACAGATTATCTTATCACCCTGGTAATAAGCATAGTACCCAATAGGTAGTTTTTTGATCCTCACCCTCCTCCTACCTTCCACCCTCAAGTAGGCCCTGTTATTTGTTGTTCACCTCTTTGTGTCCATGTGTACTCACTGTTTAGCTCCCACTTATAAGTGAGAACATGCAGCATTTGGTTTTCTGTTCCTTTAGGGTAATGGCCTCCAGCTCTCCATCTGTGTTACAGAGGACATGATCTCGTCCTTTTTTATGGCTGCATTATATTCCATGGTATATATGTACCAAATATTCTTTATGCAGCCCACCATTGATGGACATCAAGGTTGATTCCACATCTTTGCCATTGTAAATAGTGCTGTGATGAACATGCGTGAACATGTGTCTATGGTAGAACGATTTATTTTCCTTTGGGTATATACCCAGTAATGGGATTGCTGGGTCGAATGGTAGTTCTGTTTTAAGTTCTTTGAGAAATCTCCAAACTGCTTTCCTCAGTAGCTGAACTAATTTACATTCCCAGCAGCGGTGTATAAGCATTTTCTTTTCTCTGCAACCTCACCAGGATCTGCTGTTTTTTGACTTTTTAATAATGGCCATTCTGACTGGTGTGGGATGGTATCTCATTGTGGGTTCTCTTTTTTTTTTTTTTTTTGAGACAGAGTCTCATTCTGTCTCCAAGGCTGGAGTGCAGTGGCCCAATTTCGGCTCACTGCATCCTCTCCTCCCGGACTCACTGTCTCTCGGGTTCAAGAGATTCTCATGCCTCAGCCTCTCGAGTAGCTGGGACTAGCCCCCAAGCCCGGATAATTTTTTTGTATTTTTGGTAGAGACAGGGTTTCACCATGTTGACCAGGCTGGTCTTGAACTCCTGACCTCAGGTTATCCACCCACCTCAGCCTCCCAAAGTGAGGCTGATTACAGGCATGAGCCACCGCACCTGGCCATCTCATTGTGGTTTTGATTTGCATTTCTCTAATGATTAGTGATATAGAGCATTTTTTCATATGCTTGTTAGCTACTTGTACATCTTCATTTGAGAAGTTCTGTTCATGGGTGGACACTTTTGATTCCATATCTGGCTATTGTGAATAGTGTTGCAGTAAACATGGGAGTACAGATGTCTCTTCAGTACACTGATTTCCTTTCTTTTGGGTATGTACCCCCAGAAGTGAGATTGCTGGGTCATTTGGTAGTTTTATTTTTTTCTCTGCTTTCTCACCAACATTTGTTTTTTTTTGGTCTTTTTGATAATAGCCATTCTAACTGGGGCGAGATGGTATCTCATTGTGGTTTTGATTTGCATCTGTTGGCTGTTTCTGTGTCTTCTTTTGAGAAATGTCTATTCAGGTCTTTTGCCCATTTTAAAATCAGGTATTTGTTTTTGCTATTGAGTTGTTTGAGTTCCCTATATATTCTGGTTATTAATCCCTTGTGATGGATAGTTTGCCAATATTTTCTTTCTCCCTTTCTGTAGGTTGTCCTTCCCTCCCTCCCTCCCTCCCTGTCCTTCTGTCCCTCCCTCCCTCCCTTCCTGCCTGTCTTTTTTTTTTTTTTTTTTTTTTTTTGTGATAGCATCTCACTTTGTTGCCCAGGCTGGAGTGCAGTGGCACCATCTTGGCTCACTGCAACGTCCACCTCCCAGGCTCAAGCAGATCCTCCTGCCTCAGCCTCCTGAGTAGCTGGGACTACAGGTGTGCACCACCACACCCAGCTAATTTTTTTTTTTTTTTCTTTTGAGATGAGTCTCGCTCTGTCACCCAGGCTGGAGTGCAGTGGCACCATCTTGGCTCACTGCAACCTCCGCCTCCTGGGTTCAAGCGATTCTCCTGCCTTAGCCTCCTGAGTAGCTGGGATTACAGGTGTGCATCACCACACCTGGCTAATTTTTGTATTTTTAGTAGAGACTGGGTTCCACCATGTTGGTCAGGCTGGTCTCAACCTCCTGACCTCGTGATCCACCCACCTCAGCCTCCCAAAGTTCTGGGATTACAAGCATGAGCCAATTTGTATACTTTTTGTAGAGACAGGGTTTTGCTGTGTTGCTCTGGTGGTCTCTAACTCCTGGGCTCCAATGATTTGCCCACCTTGGCATTCCGAAGTTCTGGGATTACAGGCGTGAGCCACCATGCCCAGCCTAGGTTATATATTTGAATCTTAAAATTAGTTCTATTGCATTGCTTATTCCAGTCTTTTAATTGTTTTGTTGCAGAAAATATACATTGCCATTTGAACTTAGTTTTCTTTGCTACAGAAAGTCTCAGTCTGTTATATGACAGTGTAAGGTCCTGGGATCCTTATGTGTGCCTTGAATGTTTTCTGCATTCTGTGAGCATCTAGCACAAGCTTGTCAACTGCTATGTTTATTTTTTGTTAAATGCAGCTCACCTCCCCACTTTTTTCTTCTCATACATAGTAACAGGCAGTTAACCTTTAGCCCTTTCATGTAACACTGCTTCTTTCTTATCAGCTATTTATCAAATACTTTGATCTTTAATCATCTACCTTTTGACTTGCCGGCTTTCAGGGTGGGGTTTTTTTAAAATTTATTTTTATTTTTAATTTTAATTTTTACTTTTTTTGAGGCAGGGTCTCACTCTGTTGCCCAGGCTGGAGTACAGTGGCAAGAACACGGCTCACCGCAGCCTGGATGACTTTCGGAGCTCAAGTGATTCTTCTGCCTCAGCCCACTAAGTAGCTGGGACTACAGGTGTGCTGCCACCATGCCCAGATAATTTTCGTATTTTTTGTAGAGACAGGGTTTCGTCTTGTTGCCCAGGCTGGTGTCAAACTCCTGAGCTCAACCAATCCACCTGTCTTGGCCTCCCAAAGTGCTGAATTAGCCCAGGGTGGTTTTTAAGAATCAAATTAAGATATGTAATTCAGCCTGGCATGGTAGCTCACACCTGTAATCCCAGCAGTTTGAGAGGCTGAGGTGGGAGGATCGCTTTAGGCCAGGAGTTCGAGACCAGCCTGGCCAACATAGCGAGGCCTTGTCTCTATAAAAATAAAATTAAAAAAAGAATATGTAATTAAAAGGACTTTGGAAGCTAATAATTAAGGAGCTGCCAGATTGTAAGAGTGTAAAGAGTAACAATGGAAAAATACAGGGTGATGAGATGTGTTTTAAGGGGGCATTTGAAAAAGAAACCAACCTACCAGATATACTTTTTAAATTGGTGCGAGAATTAGTTGAGAGCTTTTTTACTGTTTTCGGGTGATTCCTTGGTTCTTTCATTTAAAAAATTGCTTGCTGTTGGTTATTGTGCTGGACATAATAATATGAATACCTGTTTTTAATAATCTCTTAGTCTTGTAGAGGAATGAACACATTTCTGTAGTGATATTACAATTGAAGATGAAAGTGGCTTGGTTGGAACTGGGCCTAGGAGTGGACAGGGGTTGGTCAGGGAAGCATTCAAGGAAGCTAGGAGAACTGGGCTTTAACCTGAGTGAGTTGTCCAGGCAGATGCTGGGGTAGGGTGCTCCAAGGAGGTGACTCCGAGACAGACTGTCTAGGTTTAAAATCCAGCTCTGATTGGGAGGTTGTGGTTTTTAATTGAATTTTGGGTAAGTGAAAGGGATTAATCTAGGGTAGTGGTTCTCAACCTCAAGTGCACCTTAGAATTTCCCTGATAATTAAAATATTGCTGCTTCCCAGGCCCCACCATAGACCAATTCAATTAGTATCGCTAGTAGTGTGGTCACAGGTGATTCTAAAGTTCATTCAGGCAGAAAATCACCAGTCCAGGACTACTATTTTTTTGTTCTTTTTTTTTTTTTTCTCTTTTAATTTGAGCAAGTGTCAGTAGAATAGGATTACTATTTCCAGTCTTTTGGCTTAGGTGACTGGATTGCTGTGATGGTGCCATTTAGTAGGATGAAAAGCAGATTGAAAGAAAATATGTTGCTTTTAACATAACACTTGGGCTTTTTAGCAGTTCTGTTAATATTTACATGCTTTAGCCTTTTTGTGACTAATACTTTTTAAAATATTGATTTCTGGATTGGGTATTGTAAATGACCCCAGACTATATGACTTTCATGTTCTTGTGTCTGTATTTTATCCTTTGAGTTTCTTTTTTTTTAAATTTTAAGTTATTCATTTTCTTTAGAATTCTTATGCTTTGGGTTTCTTTTAGGATATTATCTGATGTTGTTTCTTTTCTTTGGACTTACCACTTTTTGACACACCAGTTTACATATTCGTTAGGTTTGTCTGACTGCCTGTTGTGAAATTTCTTGTTGATTGCTTTTCCCTGTCCACAACCACTACTATTACCAGCACTAGCTCCACCAGAGCAGGGATGTTTGATTTATTTGTTCATCAATGAATCTTAAGTTCCTGCTACATAGTAGATAATACATATTTCTTGAATGAATGAATCCGGTTGGTTTTGTTTCTTTCCAGGTTCTTGACTCTGCTCTGGAGAAAATATGAGATGTTGGAGAGCAGAGTTTCAGATCTGTGAGAACTGTTGTCTTCCTGTATTAATTGATAATTAGACGTGGAGCTTAATTTTTGGTTGCTAAGGGTTGTGAGAGAATACGCAACTTTTCACTTCGAGCACATGGGTCTTAATACATCTTAACAATGAAATCTTTTTTTTTTTTTTTTTAATGTTTTGGTAGGAACCACCAAAGCCCCTACTAAATAATTTTAAAGTGGGGATGAAACTAGAAGCTATTGACAAAAAGAACCCGTATCTCATCTGTCCTGCGACCATTGGAGATGTTAAAGGGGATGAAGTTCATATCACATTCGATGGCTGGAGTGGAGCTTTTGATTACTGGTGCAAGTATGATTCTCGAGATATTTTCCCAGTTGGGTGGTGTCGCCTGACAGGAGATGTATTACAACCCCCAGGAACTAGTGGTAAGATAATAGTTAACTACATTTTCTTTTACTTTATTGAAGTTAGATGTAACTGTCGTTGGTGGCATTGTGGTTAGCATTGGTGGTACTAGGACTTCATGCCCCAACTGGTGGCAGGCAGAACAAAGCACTGTCCAGGCTAGAGAACTGGAGGTAAAGGAAAGCTATGATTAGAATTCTTGAGGTCACTGCAGCATCATAGTCTGAGTTCCAGTCCAACTGGAGAATATGGACAAAGCTAAAAGTCATATTTGGACCATTGAGGTCTTGTTGCTATAAGAAAGGGGGGTGGTACACACTCAGCTCCTTTTATAGTTGATATTCAATGAAAAATTATGCATGATATTCCATTGTTCATATCTCAAAGATATTTTTTAAAAGGTTGGGCTTAACAACTGTTATAAACATGTCTTACATGATTTTGGTCCTGTTTTTAAGTTAAATTGACACTTTGATAGCCTTAAGTTAAATCTACAGTGAAAATTTTTGACTCTGGGGAAGCCATCATAAATTAGTATGTTATTTTAGTCATGGTAATGTTTATTAGTTGTAACAGTGTTTCCTAAGCTGAGTACTATGATCTTCTAGATATTTTCTTTCAGAGAAAGAAACGTCAACATGTTGATGTTCCTTGGTGACTCTTTCAAGGGCTTAGATATGCCTAACCTGGTCTTCTATGATGGAGTAACTGCTGAGGCTTAAGTGGGGTCTAAGCATAGAACCCAATCATTGGCCTAAGTTTAATATAAACTTAGTGGGATTCAATTAGCCAGACGTGGCGGCATGTGCCTGTAATCCTAGCTACTCAGGAGGCTGAGGCAGGAGAATCACTTGAACCTGGGAGGTGGAGGTTGCAGTGAGCCGAGATCATGCCACTGCACTCCAGCCTGGGCGACAAGAACAAAACTCTGTCTCAAAAAAATAAATAAATAAAAAATAAGCTTAGTGGGATTGAATATAAACATACTTTAAAAACTTACCCTACTAAGTATATTTATTTTATGAGAAAAAAAGAAAGATAGATGAAGAAAATAAGTAGGCAAAGTGTGCAGAGGAGTGTAATGTCTAGGTAAGAGCTTGTAGCCCTATTATTCTTGCAGTGGCTATTAGGATCATCTGTAATTTGGGACTTTAACACATTCCATTATACTACAGTACTATGTACCACAGTGTCCTTTTTATTAGGTACATCTTTAACCAGTTTCCTGTTTCCATAAGTCTAGGAAGTAGATATTAATGGTTGATTTTGTAAAATTTAGTATGATATAGATCTATGTGTATATGATATTAAGATAAATAAAACATAGTCTCTACCCTCAAGAAGTTTACCTTCTAATGGAAGAGGGATGCATGGAGGCATAGACTTGTAAAAAAGAGATAGAGTATTAGCAACGCAAAAATAGAGATGTATGCTAGATGTGGAGGTGGCCCAAAGACTTCCAGTCTTGGCTGGAGGGAAAGGTGGTTGCATAAAGGAAAGCATCACAAAAGGTGCATGATGTGAGTATTAGATGAGAAGCAGGAGTTTGCCAGGCAGAATGGAGATAAAGGTAGGATGGATACATAACAAAAGTGCAAAATTCCAGTTTATCCTAAAAACTGACGAGTTCACTTTGGAACACAGTTTGGAACGTGTGGCTGAGAATGCTGTTGTCCTCCGGTATTTCTTCCCTCTTTTTTTCTTAGTATTACAGTTGGCTGCCTGACATACAGACTACATTTCCAGACTCCTGGCAGTATGGTATGGCCACGAGACTAAGTCCTGGTTGATGGAATAAAAGCATACATAGTGTGTACTTTTTCCAGAAAGTATATTATAGAGAGATGAGCATGTCCTTTCCTCTTCCTTCTTCCTGCTTTTATCCTGCTGTTACGAATGTAGTTTTGACTGGAGCTCCATCTTGGAGCATGAGATGGGGACCATATGCTAGACACTGTGCAGTGGGTGGAAAGCAGCCAGGAGCCAGAGTCCCTGAGAACTTGGTGGAGCAGAGCTTTCATACTAGCCCATATTATCTGTTTTCAGACAATTGTGAGAAATAAACTTCTGTGTTATATAAGTCGCTGTTCTTTTAGGTTTTTCTATTACTGTTAGCTGAACTCAATCCTAACTGATTCAGGGTAACTTTGGGACATCCAGGTGCACATGTTCATTGGAGCTGCACATGTACATCTGGAGCCTAAAAAAGATAGATCTTGTTGACAAAGCAGGCTTGAGAGTCACCATGTTCACTCAAACAAATATTCTTTGTGCCAAGTGGGATTATAGGTGCTTGGGATGGGAGGGTGAGCAGTTTACTTATTTTGTTGATAGCAGCAAGTGGTGGAAGTTTTGAGCGTGTTTTAATTTTGTGTATATAACAAGTAGAGTTAGAAAAGGACCAGTTCAGAACCTTGTGGGTCAACATTTAAAGCAGTAATTATTACTCTTGAATTGCCTGGGGGAGCTTGTTAAAAGGCAATGCTCGGGAACTCACATCCAGGGGTTTGAATCCCTGGGTTCGGAGTCGGGCTCAGTTGTTTCCAGTGCACATGGTTTGAGGCCTGAACTTTGAGAAGCACAAAAATAAGGAATAGGTAGTAGAAGTCAATCTAGGACACTGGAAAAAAGTATACATAAATGTAGGAGATCACTAGGTTGGTTTCCGTGGCAACAGTAGAGAAAAGATTTTAAGGAGAAAGTACTCAACATTATCAAAGGCAGTGTAAAAGTCAAGCAAGAGGAGAACTCGTTAGTGGTCTTAGTAAAACTATGGTTACTTGGCTTCTTTAAAAAGCTAGATTTAGATGGTATCTCATTGTGGTTTTGATTTGCATTTCTCTGATGGCCAGTGATGATGAGCATTTTTTCATGTGTCTGTTGGCTGTATGAATGTCTTCTTTTGAGAACTGTCTGTTCATATCCTTTGCCCACTTTTCGATGGGGTTTTTTGTTTTTTTCTTGTAAATTTGTTTGAGTTCTTTGTAGGTTCTGGATATTAGCCCTTTGTCAGATGAGTAGATTGCAAAAATTGTCTCCCATTCTGTAGGTTGCCTGTTCACTCTGATGGTAGTTTCTTTTGCTGTGCAGAAGCTCTTTAGTTTAATTAGATCCCATTTGTCAATTTTGGCTTTTGTTGCCGTTGCTTTTGGTGTTTTAGACATGAAGTCCTTGCCCATGCCTATGTCCTGAATGGTATTACCTAGGTTTTCTTCTAGGGTTTTTATGGTATTAGGTCTAACATTTAAGTCTCTAATCCATCTTGAATTAATTTTCGTATAAGGAGTAAGGAAAGGATCCAGTTTCAGCTTTCTACTTATGGCTAGCCAATTTTCCCAGCACCATTTATTAAATAGGGGATCCTTTCCCCATTTCTTGTTTTTGTCAGGTTTGTCAAAGATCAGATGGCTGTAGATGTGTGGTATTATTTCTGAGGACTCTGTTCTGTTCCATTGGTCTATATCTCTGTTTTGGTACCAGTACCATGCTGTTTTGGTTACTGTAGCCTTGTAGTATAGTTTGAAGTCAGGTAGCGTGATGCCTCCAGCTTTGTTCTTTTGACTTAGGATTGTCTTGGCGATGCAGGCTCGTTTTTGGTTCCATATGAACTTTAAAGTAGTTTTTTCCAATTCTGTGAAGAAATTCATTGGTAGCTTGATGGGGATGGCATTGAATCTATAAATTACCTTGGGCAGTATGGCCATTTTCACGATATTGATTCTTCCTATCCATGAGCATGGTATGTTCTTCCATTTGTTTGTGTCCTCTTTTATTTCACTGAGCAGTGGTTTGTAGTCTCCTTGAAGAGGTCCTTTACATCCCTAGTAAGTTGGATTCCTAGGTATTTCATTCTCTTTGAAGCAATTGTGAATGGAAGTTCATTCCTGATTTGGCTCTCTGTTTGTCTGTTACTGGTGTATAAGAATGCTTGTGATTTTTGCACATTAATTTTGTATCCTGAGACTTTGCTGAAGTTTCTTATCAGCTTAAGGAGATTTTGGGCTGAGACAATGGGGTTTTCTAAATATACAATCATGTCATCTGCAAACAGGGACAATTTGACTTCTTCTTTTCCTAACTGAATACCCTTGATTTCTTTCTCTTGCCTGATTGCCCTAGCTAGAACTTCCAACACTATGTTGAACAGGAGTGGTGAGAGAGGGCATCCCTGTCTTGTGCCAGTTTTCAAAGGGAATTTTTCCAGTTTTTGCCCATTCAGTATGATATTGGCTGTGGGTTTGTCATAAATAGCTCTTATTATTTTGAGATATGTTCCATCAATACCGAATTTATTGAGCGTTTTTAGCATGAAGGGTTGTTGAATTTTGTCAAAGGCCTTTTCTGCATCTATTGAGATAATCATGTGGTTTTTGTCTTTGGTTCTGTTTATATGCTGGATTACGTTTATTGACTTGCGTATGTTGAACCAGCCTTGCATCCCAGGGATGAAGCCCACTTGATCATGGTGGATAAACTTTTTGATGTGCTGCTGGATCCGGTTTGCCAGTATTTTATTGAGGATTTTTGCATGGATGTTCATCAGGGATATTGGTCTAAAATTCTCTTTTTTTGTTGTGTCTCTGCCAGAATTGCAATCATTAAAAAGTCAGGAAACAACAGATGCTGGAGAGGATGTGGAGAAATAGGAACACTTTTACACTGTTGGTGGGATTGTAAACTAGTTCAACCATTATGGAAAACAGTATGGTGATTCCTCAAGGATCTAGAACTAGAAGTACCATATGACCCAGCCATCCCATTACTGGGTATATACCCAAAGGGTTATAAATCATGCTGCTATAAAGACACATGCACACGTATGTTTATTGCGGCACTATTCACTATAGCAAAGACTTGGAATCAACCCATATGTCCATCAGTGACAGACTGGATTAAGAAAATGTGGCACATATACACCATGGAATACTATGCAGCCATAAAAAAGGATGTTTGTGTCCTTTGTAGGGACATGGATGCAGCTGGAAACCATCATTCTTAGCAAACTATGGCAAGAACAGAA